TGTGAAAGCAGGTTATGAACTACCATAAACACAGGATACCATAAACCTTTTTTTTGAGATAGAGCCTCAAGCTATCCCCCCGGATAGAGTGTCACGGCATCACGCTCACAGCAACCTCCAGCTCCTGGGCTCAAGCGAGTCTCCTGCCTCAGCCTCCCAAGTAGCTGGGGCAACAGGCGCCCGCCACAACGCCTGGCCATTTTTTTTTTTTTTTGGTTGCAGCCATCATTGTTGTTTTGCGGGCCCAGGCTGGGGATTCGAACCCGCCACCTTAGGTTTATGTGGCTGGCGCCTTAAGCCACAGGCGCCGAGCCACCATAAACCTTTTGATGTAAAAACTACCCTGAAGGCTGCACACAGGGAGATGCACAAGAGAATAACTTGACGACATATTCTGTGTAGCATGTTTCACTAAAGAAAGCTGGGTGTTGGCTTGTTTGTCTCATATGCTTGGACGTGATCGCAGATGAAGATTGAACAGGCTGAGAGCTCCTCCTAGCAAGACCTTCCCTGATAGGCTGATGAGGCCTGAATGAGAACCTGCAAGGCTATTGCCTAACTGGCTTCAGTAGTAACCAGAGCACAGGGCCACAGCCTTTTAAGTGTCAGCCATACACTTTAATAAGCATTCTGAGTAGCTCCACATAATGCAAGTGCACCATCTGAAAGTTAAGTAACTTAAATTGGGATTTAAAGATGAAGAAACTGGCTTGGTGCCCATAGCTCAGTGAGTAGGGTGCCAGCCACATACACCAAGGCTGACGGGTTCGAGCCCCACCCAGGCCTGCTAAAACAACAATGACAATTGCAACCAAAAAAAAAAAAAAAAAAAACTAGCCAGGTGTTGTGGTAGGTGCCTATAGTCTCTGCTACTTGGGAGGCTGAGGCAAGAGAATCACTTAAGCCCAAGGTTACTGTGACGCTATGAGCTGTGACACCATGGCACTCCAGCAAAGGCAACATAATGAGACTCTGTCTCAAAAAAAAAAAGATGAAGAAACCTCAAGCAGTTCAGGGTGCACTTCATTTGGTAAAATGAATTTAACCTTAGTTGTAGGAGGAAATATTAACTGTGATTTGCTAGAATAACTCATTCCATCATTTAACTGATTCAAGTACATGCCTTCATGAAATTCATGGAACAATAAGAATAAAAGAATATTATAAAGCTAAGAATTTAAGTATACTGTGTAACCTATATAATCAGTGCAGATATGGAATGGAAATACTGTTTTAATTTAAAGAGCACATTGACTTGGCTCTAGCCAAATGTTTTCCTTTAATTTGAGCTGTATTCCCCCTGGTGTTGGGATCTCACTTTTCTCTGACACTGCTTCCTTTCCCCTGCTTTACACCTTCAATGTTGGCATCCATGCGCATTCTTCTCTTTGCCCACCCTTCTCCTCACTCCCCACTTCTCCTTGGCTCTTTGCAGCTAACACGTACATGCCAAATAACTCCCAGCTTTAACCTCTCATCTAAGCTTTATAACTGCATTTCCAACTGTCTCTTGAACATCTCCATCTGAATAATCTATGGATTCCTTGAATTTAGCAGATTACATCTACTCATTTTGTTTCTTAAGCCTTATATGTCTGTTTTAACTCTTGGTTAATGATATGCAAGCTAGTTGTCTAAGCTAGTCATGCTGTCATCTCTTTTCACTCTCAGCCCATCAGAACTAACTAATCATTAAGTTATATAATTTCTGCCTTCTTAAAGTATTTCAGATTTGTTCCCTCCTTTCCATTACCACTGCCATCACCTCAGTTCACATTTTCAACATTTACAAGAGCTTCTGTGATCTTCTTTAAAGCTGACTCTTCTTTTCCCACTCACCTTCACATAGTAGCTGGAGAAGTCCTTTGTAAATGCCTGGTGGTGTCACTCTCCTACTTAAAACCTTCACTGGCTTCACATTGTCTGCTGTTTTTACCAATCTCAAATATCTACAGGAATTAGACAAATAACATATATGAGTGAAGTAGATCAAGCATGAAACCATAAAGAAGAACAGGAAAGTACAGTTCTGTCTGAAGATATTTATATTCAGAGTTTTTTAAAAACATGACAGGCTGGCCATGATGGTTTGTACCTGTAGCCCCAGCTATTAGGATGCTGAGACAGGAGAATCACTTGAGTCTGCAACTTTGAGGTTGCAGTAAGCTATTATGATGCCATTCACTGTAGCCTGGGCAGCAAAGCAAGACCTTGTCTAAAAAAATGATGTGACATACCTGTCTGTCAATTTAATGTTGCCTGTGGATCTCCATTTAGTACACTCACACCTAAACTGCTGAGTGTAACATATGCAGTATTACTTAGATAATGGGTATCTCCTTGAGATGAGCATTCTGGAATTCTCAGCTTTTGCAGAGACTCATGCAGCCAGTGAGTCATTTGTTGTTCTGTTTCAAGGTCAAAACATATCAGCATAAAGAGTATGTACTTATTATATTTATGAGTACCTCTGTATTCATATTGGAGGCTATGTAACATAATGAATACTTTGTAGGCTTTGGAATTATTGTTGACCTAAGTTCAATTTCCAGTTTTGCCACTTATTAGTTGTGTGATTTTGAGATGGTCATTTAATTGCTTTGAACTTCAATTTCCTTCCCTGTTTATAAAAACTTTCAGAATTGAAATTATAAAATCAAATAATAAACAGCTTGAAATTATCCATCTTATAATAAATGCTTAGCACATAGTAACTCCTCCATAAAAAATAGCAATCAGACAAATTAGGATAAATTTGAAAAGTAGCAATAGATATACAGCTCTGTCCTTCTCAGCAAATGTAGGTGTGGCCTAAAAAGCAAACCTTTTGGAAGCCAGTATCAAGTGAGGCACATGATTGAAGCTGACAGGCAGATGATTCACCAGGCAACTTAAAAACTAGGAATTTGGGCGGTGCCTGTGGCTCAGTGAGTAAGGCGTCAGCCCCATATGCCGAGGGTGGAGGGTTCAAACCCAGCCCTGGCCAAACCGCAACAAAAAAAATGGCCGGGCGTTGTGGCAGGCACCTGTAGTCCCAGCTACTTGGGAGGCTAAGGCAAGAGAATCGCCTAAGCCCAAGAGCTGGAGGTTACTGTGAGCTGTGATGCCACAACACTCAGCATTCTACCAACGGCAATAAAGTGAGACTCTGTCTCTTAAAAAAAAACACACACACAAAAAAAAACCCTAGGAATTTACCAGCCTTGCTGGCTAGCTGTCTGAAAATGGAATTCCAGTCCAGAAGGTGTTGCTATTGATAAATTCATGAGCAAGATGGGAATATGGACTCTGTACAATTATGCATAATGTCCAAAACTCGTTTTTAGTTTCTTAATCTCTATATAATCTTTACCTTTTTAGCAAAAATAATATTAACTAAAAAAAATTGTTTTGCAGGTTTTTGTTTTTTTTTTTTACCGGGGCTAGGTTTGAACCCACCACCTCTGGTATATGGAGCTGGCGCCCTACTCCTTTGAGCCACAGGTGCCACCCTTATTAACTGAAATTTTATTCAAAACTATTAGGATATATAGGATATATATTTTGGTTTATTCTCTAGGTCTATATAAATATGAAGCACCAAATGAAGAAAGTAAACAACTTAGTTTTTATTAGAACCATTTAACATGGTAAGGAAGAGGGCTGTTAAGTGGCTCAGCATCCATAGCACAGTGGTTATGGCACCAGCCACATGCACCAAGGTGGCGCAGGTTTGAACCCAGCCCTGGCCTGCTAAACAACAGTGCCAACTGCAACAAAAAAAAATACCTGGGCGTTGTGGCAGGGCGCCTGTAGTCCCAGCTACTTGGGAGGCTGAGGCAGAAGAATTGCTTAAGCCCAAGAGTTTGAGGTTGCTGTGAGCTGTGACACAACAGTACTCTACTGAGGGTGACATAGTGGGACTCTGTATCAAAAAAAAAAAAAAAAATCAAAGAAGCCATGAAGATCTTTTGTCATTCACTTAAGGGAAAGAAAATAAACTATCTTGTCAGGCTTTGCATTTTTTCATTTTGTTTTTTAAATTTAAGATTCTAACATTTAAGTATACTTTCTTAGTGGTTTGTGTACACAGCTGACATGACTGAAATAGAGTGCTAAATGGCTTACAGTGTGATTGTCTACTTTACCATAGAGCTGTAGTAATAATGAGTAAAAACTAGTATTAGAAAATAGCTTGAAATTATCAGCTCAGCGCCTATGGCTCAAGTGGCTAAGGCACCAGCCACATACACCTAAGGTGGCAGGTTTGAATCCAGCCTGGGCCCGCCAAAAACAACAATGACAGCTGCAACCAAAAAAATAGCCAGGCATTTTGGTGGGCACCTGTGGTCCCAGCTACTTGGGAGGCTGAGGCAGGAGACTCATTTGAGCCCAGGAGTTGGAGGTTGCTATAAGCTGTGATGCCACAGGACTCTACCCAGGCGGATAGCTTGAGGCTCTGTCTCAAACAAAAAAAAAAAAAAAAAAAATTATCCTTGTTGGCAGAATGATATGCACAGAACTCCTAAATATACTTGAAATGGGAGAAGATTAGAAAGAACAAAATAGAAAGCAAGCTTGTTTTAAGGGCAAACCAAACCCTTAGAGTTTCAGCTTCTTACTTTGCAACAATATGTCTCCAAATTTTCTCACCCAGATAAATAAAACTATATTTGAGAAACACAGTGGCAGCATTAATAGTATATGCTAAGAGGATGCTGTCTAAGAAAGCAAAACTGAAGTATTTAAGAAAAAGAGTGTTGAAATACAAAGATAGACAAGTGCTATCCTTACGGGCCACAGTAAAATTCTCTTTTAGTTTTAGGTATTCCTAAAAGGTTGACTTCAAAAAATATAGTGTTATTTTGTGACTTTAATATTACATTTTGGGAAAAAAAAATTACATTTTGGTGTTTAGCCATTTATTTTTCTTAAAGAATGGATTTATTTTTTATCAATGCCTTCTAAATATTTGTCTTTTTTCTCCCTCTCCTTTTCTTCTTCTCCCTTTCTACTTGCAGCTCCTCAGAGAAATTTTGAAATTGCCTTCAAGATGTTTGACTTGAATGGAGATGGAGAAGTAGACATGGAGGAGTTTGAACAGGCAAGTTGTCCTGAAGAGTTCCCTTAAAAACATTAATATTGGGCGGCGCCTGTGGCTCAAGGAGTAGGGTGCCACTCCCATATACCAGAGGCGGTGGG